TATGTCTTCAATGGTGACAACTGATAACGCATCTGTGTTTTGATTATTAATCAGATGTCTATGGGTCACAGCATCTATTTACCATCAGGCGCACTGCGTGCTCTTTTCCGTTACATCGCCCTAATACTTAAAAAAAACGTGGTGTAAATGAATCATGTCGGACCTCGTTTGTCCAGAGAAGTTGTCATCGATTGTCAGCGGGGTCACTAATATTTTTTTTTATTTTGGCTAACACCTAATCGTTAGCTTGACGTTTTAATAAAAATTGGCATTGTTTAAAAATTACTTGTATTAAACAAGTAATTTTTAAACAATGCCAATTTTTATAGTTAGTAGTAGATTGTTTCTTTAATTAAAAATAGGAATTGTGATAAGTTACTTAAGTTTATATTCAATGTTAAAAAAGGAAGCCTTTGATCATACGTAAATTAATGAAATTAAGAGAACTGGTATTTTGTGAGCTTTGACTCAACATATCGACTCCCAAGTGTTTCCCTAGGTTTCTTCGTTATATAAATTTAGTTTGTAATAATAAAGCTGAAGAGTTTTTTGTTTTTTAGTTTGTTTAAACGCGCTAATCTTTGGAACTACCAGTCCGATTTGAAAAATTCTTTTTGAAAAATTGTATATTATAGCCAGATTCATGTGGCTATCTCATATGGAGTATAGGCTATCTAGCATTAAGCTATATTACTCAGCTAGCCTTAAATATGGATATTTGTTAAGCAAGTCAGAAGAAAAAGCACTCACGAAATGATTTATCCGCGTACGCTGGTGTTACCGTTAGGGATACGTAAATACAATGTTCTAGATAAATATAGACCTTTACTCCGTCTCAAAAAAAGTCCGCGATACCATATGTCTATTTCTTATACATAAACCATAATTAGATATTTTGTGACAAAAAAATATTGAAAATTTAAAAGTGATTTATGAGTGTTATTATTAGGCATGGCCTATTTATCCTTACGAACGAAAGTTACTTCATCATCCAGACAATTTTATGAAGATAAGCTTTGTTCCTTATACCATGTTATTTGGACGCATAGTTTAAGAGATAATGTAAAATTAAAATAATTCAATACTTGGCTGGGCGCGTGAACTACGCATAAACCCTAGCCGCCCTGTGAGAACTGCGAAAAGCCAGTATTGAAAGCTTCTATGAGCGAGGTTAGTTCAATCATTATAGCTAAAATAAATTAAAAATTAATTGAGTACTTTTATGACAATGATTAGTTACATCTTTATTTCTGAACTCTTTCATTTCACGTTGCTATGGTATTTTGCAAATTTAATTGATCAATATGTACAAGAGTTTGATAGCAAATTAATCAAGAATCATTTCATGCCTACACACTTTTCATGTATCGTGTACGGTTTTCTTTAAAACTGGAAAAAACCGCGCTTCGGGACATTTTCTGTGACTTGGGGTGTGGGGGGGGGGGGAGGACGCTCAACCGGGAGGGAGAGGGAAAGTGGATAAAACTTAACTTCGCTCTACATCATACGTAATACGCCGACAGATAAAAGTACCTATAATTATGCCACTTTTTCCATCCATTGCTATCAAATAAAACATTAAATTGCAATTATAAAATGCTTGAACTAGGTCATGTCGCGCACCTACGACACGTGATGACGCGGGTGAAACCGCGGGGCACAGCTAGTGCAATATAATATTAACTTGGTGTTGTATACGTTTTCATGTTAAAAATAGATTTATGCTGCTTCAAACCTATGTTGAGTGAAAATAGTCCATAGGTTTGGAATCAACTTTTAACTACTCGTATAGTCATAAAATCTTAACCCTTTCGCTGTCCCGTGCACTACATATAGGTCATTGCTATTGTCTTACTATTGTGTCTGAAAAACGGACAGTGAACGTGTTAAACTCTACAATAAAACATAGCGTAGTAATTAATGCTCTTTGTATACCTTGTAGGAAACTAAAGTTATCGAATTGTGGAAGTATGAATAAAATTATTAAATTACGATTTCTTAATTATTGTTAAAAACTCGTTAATGTGATTATAGTTTCTTTCTCATCCACCTATTTATTTATTATCACTAATTTAAATTGTCTTTTACCCTACCCTATCGCTTACCCTAAAGCGCAGACCGAACTGCAAAATGCTCGCGCATGCTCGAGCAAAATTTTGACTAATCGACCATGCAGGCGGCATCCGCGAGCAAGATCCATTGAGTGCTCTGGGTTGCTAGGGGGGCGTGCATAACCAATTTCATGCCAAAATCCGAGGTTGATAGCCGTGTTCAATATGATCGATTGGGACTTGGTGATTATCGCCCTTTTGGCAGAGGAAGAGGAACATGAAGAACATATTAATGAAATCAGACGTCGGAAAATTAGAACTGTATGGGTAGAAGAAACATGGCGGGAAAGATGTACCTCAGGCGAATATTACACATTGTGTAAGAATTTACCATTAAGAGGTGTTCATTTTTATGACTATTATAAGTTTACCAAGGAAATTTTAAATTTTAGTTAATTTAAAACTCATCAACTTTTCTTCGTGCATGATTCCGACTTATGTGACGCGCTTATAGGTATAAACTAAACACACGTCGAAACATTTTTTTCGCTGCGGCAATACTGAGCGCGGGCGGTGGCGCTGGCGGTGCGAGCGCACTCGCGGATGCTCGAACATGCATCCTGCAAGCTCGAGCATGGTCCAGCATCAAGTTTGAACGTGTATATAAATTTGCACTTTCTGTCAATAGTCATAGGATTAATATTTAAAGGCTCCAGTACAGAGCGCGCTCGGCAGGTTTTCGTGGTGCCGTTCACACGTTGGCGTGCTTCATTCTGCGTTGGTAGCTAGATGATGATGGACGTTAGGGTGATCGCGGCCGCTGTAATATACTTATACTTCACTTTCCTCAGAGTGAACGAAAAAGAAACTACCTACATATACAACAATAATCCAAGTTTGTCCTTTTTATGGTTCCGACCTCAAAATTTGAAAAGAAACCCTTATAGGATCTACTAGCTGACCCGTGCCCGCTTCGCTGGGGTTTTTTTCAAAATAAAAGATAACCTAAAAGAAGCCCCTAAGCTACATTGTCCCTGAGCAACATAAACTCAGAGATAATTTATAATAATATTTATCATTAGGTACTCTGAAAGCGCAACTATACGTGTATTATTTTGATGCAGTTAGGCAGGTTGTTACTCTGGTTTTATTTTTATGTTGCTCATGTTTGGGGTTCCATATAATTGATTCACTGTGACAAGAATCAATGAACCTAAATGTTTCCTCATTAGTCCATGTCGCCATGTTCGTGAAATAATTTTATTAAGTCAACACTACAGCCTACTCCGACGCGTAACTATGAACTGAACACTCGGCCAACGTGTGATCGCTATTTACGGCTTGCGCCAAATTTCTTTGATTTGTGCACGGAAAACCGTCTATACGGCTCGTCGGCGAGTGTTGGCCGCAAACGCCAAATATATACAAAACGGCCCAGTACACGTTGGCCGAGCGCATTCGGCCAACATGTACTGCAGCCATAACTGTTCTCAGAAAATTCTCTGCTCTGCTCTGCTCTTGGTGTACACTGACCCTTAGTCCTCAGATGAAAATCGTAGTAGTCTTTAGTCTTCAGGGGTGACAACACGCATCTGCATTTTAATTCATAATTGAAAATAAATGTAGATATCTATGGGCTACAGCTTCCACTTATGATCAGATGGACTGCTCTCGTTTGTCAACCTTATCTAACATATCAAATTAAGGTTTATTTGTTCGTATTTATGCGCAGCAGATTATTGTATAACTTTGTCAACTTATTGCTTGCACTTGTACGAAGGTTATAGGCGTAGTACAATCAACTTACAGCAGGTGGCGCGCGTATCGTACCAACAAATTTATTTGAAAGTTATATATCATGATCATTATCATTTCTAATTAACCAACATACATATTTTTAATTAAAACTAATTTTACGGATTTTTATATTCCCGACGTTTCGGGTGCTTTCCAGCACCCGTAGTCACGGGGGACATACATATTACAAATTTAAAACTATAGACGTTTCCACAATCATTTGTTTGTCGTTTTAACGTACATGTGTTATTTTACACGTGGTAGAGCCAAGCTACAGTTATATTATGGTTGTAGCACGAATGGGTCGGCTTGACCGGGGAAGCACAACGCTCTCACAGAATACCAGCGTGAAATAGCAGCTTCATGATGCTGTTTCGTATGGTGAGTGTAGAAAATTGGAGAACATTTTTACCGGCTATGAGGCATTCCATATTAGTCCTCAGGGGTGACAACGCATCTGAAATTTAATAACACTAGGATAGATGAAGATATCTATGGGCCATAATACCCACTTTCCTTCAGGTGGACTTTGAGCTGGTTTGACACACTAACCCTATTAAAAAAATAAAGCTTAGAGCAACGCCGCGTCAGGATCAATTGATACTATAATCACTTCATGTCTATGTTGAGTGGAATGTACTCAGTCGATATATGCGTGTATCTATATTAGTCCTCAGGGGTGACAACGCATCTGAAATTTAATAACACTAGGATAGATGAAGATATCTATGGGCCATAATACCCACTTTCCTTCAGGTGGACTTTGAGCTGGTTTGACACACTAACCCTATTAAAAAAATAAAGCTTAGAGCAACGCCGCGTCAGGATCAATTGATACTATAATCACTTCATGTCTATGTTGAGTGGAATGTACTCAGTCGATATATGCGTGTATCTTCCTGTTAGCTGTTGTCATTCAAGAGATAAGCCCTGCCCTTGTTCGAAACACAGTTTTGAGTTTTCAAGAAATGCGATCGTAAGAATAGAATAGAATAGTTTTTTTTTTTTCTAAATGAGTTAATTTTAAATAACTTTAAACAAAAAACATGTTTAGTTTTGTGTTACATTAAATTTTACAGCTCTCTTCAACAAAACGGTAGTTTCTACGACACGTCAAATTACCCCATAGAATATCTCTAAAATATCTTGTGGTCATAATTTTTGTAATATAATCATGATTTCGGCCTGCGACAACCGCCCATTGTCGTTCTTGATCACGATGTTCTTGCTGCGACCCGTGCTGTTTTCTTTGGCCGAGACGTTCAGGATACCGTTAGCGTCCATGTCGAAGGTGACGTCGATCTTGGGGACGCCACGCAGTGCTGGCGGGATGCCGGTCAAGTCGAACGTGATCAGCAGGTTGGTCATCGCACGCTCGCCTTCAAAGACTTGAATCGTAACTGCTGGCTGGTTGTTAGAGTACGTGGTGAATGTCTTTGACTGTTTGCAAGGAATCTTGCAGTTTCTTTCGTTTATTTTCGTTATCACACCTCCAGCTGTCTCAATACCCAGAGGAAATGGTGCCATGTCCAACAGCAATACGTCTTGAATCTTTGAATGAGACTCCACTGAGGATTGCGCCTTGAACGGCAGTTCGCCTTCGTGACAGCCTCGAACTGGATTTTGTAGGCCGACCAAGAAGAAGTCCCGTCGAACGGTGGCAATTTGAATCCACGTAGCGAAGGTGTTGTAGCTACCACGGGAGCTGTAATTCCATCCCCAAGTTTGAGGTCGTCCAGCGTTTTCTTTACGTCAGCCACTACGTTATCAACCCGTATGTTCACTTGGTTGATTCGGGTTTCAGCTTCCGACAGTCGGTTGTCATTTTAAACAACCCTATCCTTCACCTCCATTATCTCTTCCCCGAAGGTAGCCTGAAGGTCCTTCATGAGGAGCATCTGCTCTTCCTTATCGCGTTTGAGTTGCTCTTCCAAATGACGGGCCTGTTCCTCCTGTCCCCGCTGCAGCTGCTCTTCCAAACGACGGGCCTATTCCTCCTGTCGGTGGGCCAGTTCCTCCTGTCGGTGAGCCGACAAGCGGCGAATTTTACTCTTTTAATATTTAAACTTTCCACTAGTAAATACGTAAACAATATAGCGCTTTAAAATTAACTTCTGTAAACACCGAACTCTCTTCTTCGTCCTTCTTGTATCGTATTTCAAATTATACTGATTTCCATTTCCAGCAACAGCCGCCGCGCTTTTATACTGTACGAATCAAAAGCTAGAAAGGTCGAGGAGCTTCAAGGAACATCCAATCATAACGTACGTTTTTAGGAACGTTCTAGAAACGACAACGCCAGCCAATGAGAGCCGATCGTTTTATACTTAAATGCAATAAAGTTTATCAGCAGAAATGCCAGACGCACAAATTTTGCTGATTTATAAGGACAATTTTTGTTATTTTTTTTACTGGGTTCAATATTAGCTACTTCGCGCTATTCAAATACAATTTATTTAGGATAAATAAATAATAAAATAAATAAATATAGGATATTTCTTTTTTCAAATTATTCACATCATCTGATGATCTGAATAATTCACTACTATAATCAATTTTACAAAAAACATTAAAAAGAAAATGGAAATACAAACATTTGCACTGTATATAAAAAATTGTAAAATAATCAAAACCATGTATTTTATTCACTTATTAAGGTTAATTTTAGCATGTAATTATTGTCATTTCAGTTTAATTAATTTTTACGTATATTCTAATAAATACGTGATCTAATAAAATTTCAAAATTAATTTTGTTTATTGACTGGTATAATATGTAATTTTTACCTTTGTGGAAATGTATTAAAATTTAATTTGCTGTGCTGTGTTTTTATATTTTTATATTTTTTTCACATTAAGAGCTTACTATAAAAATTAGATACAAATATATTTTTTAGCTTTACCCCACATTTAAATACAGTTTATGGCAATACTTTAAAGATTCTACAGAAAAGAGATAGATGCTGAGATATGAAAGACAAAACGACATATTGTATTGATTGTTGACATCGTAACGTTAATAAAGGATTGAAAGATACTAATACTATTCCAAAGATTGAAGATACTAAGTCTATGCATCGCAATGAACGTAGAGAATGTAGACTCATAGTAGAGTTAATATACTAGACTACACAAAAAACGTCACATAATGAACGTAACGTAGCGTAGAAATGTGCTACGACTATTATAAATTATTGAAATGTAGAATGTCGAGTCATAGTAGTCATGGATTACGTTATAATAAACAATGGTACTTTATTATTTTTAATTTTGCAAATTAATTCATATTTTTTTTATTAAGATCTAAATTTAAATAAAATTATTCCTAGACTGTGTTGATGAGTACGGCTCTTATTGATATATATTATATATATATATATATATATTTTATGTCGTTCTAATATCTAATACCTAATCTATTCACATATCTACGCACGTAAACAATAAATGGAATATAGGAATATTTTAAAAAAAAACTGATATTAATTTTAAAACAAGACCAAAATCCCTCGTATTATTAAAAATTTACTTTATTTACGTGCACAATTTAAAGGACCTCCATTTAATGCTATAAAGATACGATGACTGTAAGACTCCCTGTATTTATTTATTTTTCTATCTCCACACTAATTTTCAGATCACTTACTGTTTCGTTTCTTTTCGTTGATGGTGTGGTTAAATCTCTTGTTGTCTTCAATTAAATTCAAATGTTTAATTTATTTTATTAAGATTAGATGATATACTTCATGTTGTTGAGCTGTTGAGCACTTTATCATGTTTATCATGTAAATGTGTATGGATGTATAGATATATGGGTACATATGTAAGTGTATGTTTATAATTGCTTAAACAATGCATTATTATTTCCAAATAACAACTCTTATTATGCTGATTCTGTCCCCCACTGAATGTTTTTCTTTAAGTTTTAGCTTTAGGTAATGTATGGCTGTCCGTGAAGCCAATATTAGGCTCTAATTAAAAATCAGCGCTGCTGTCATTTAGTTCAGCAGCTGTTAGCTGAAATTGGGACCTAATTTGACTTTACACAAATCCTGTTTTTTTATATCTCGTGTTATTCTTTTTTGTGATGTCAAATACAGTTTTCTTTCTTTCTTTCTTCTTTCAGTTTTTTATTGTGTAAATTATTTTTTTTCACTTAATGTTATGCAATTTGAATTTATCGGTTTTATAGGTTTTCAGGTACATGTATATTTTACACGTGGTAGAGCCATGCTACAGCTATATTATGGATGTAGTACGAATGGCCCGGCTTGACCGGAGAAGGACCACGCTCTCACAGAATACCAGCGTGAAATAGCAGCTTAATGTTGCTGTTTCGTATGGCGAGTGTAGAAAACCGGAGACCCTTTTTACTGGATATAAGGCATTCCATCTTAGTCCTCAGGGATGACAACGTATCTGTATTTTGATTGTCATCTTAGGATAAATGTAGATGCATATGGGCCTTACTACCATCAGGTGGACTGTTTTTGTTTGTGAGTCATATTTAAAAAAAAAAATCTATGAGCGCCGCGTCAGGATCAATTAATACTATAGTCACTTCACGTCTATGTTGAGGATAATGTACTTAGTCGATATATGCGTGGATCTTCCTATTAGACATTTTCATTCAAGAGGTAAAACTCTACATTTGTTCGAAGCTCAGTTCTCAGTTTTTAAGAACGAAGTCGCACGTAGTAGAATAGAATCATTTTTGTTCAACATGATGAAATGAAAAAATGAAAGTAATACTTATTGAAAGTTTGTACTACTGGTTCGAGAAAACCTCTGTCCTCGAAAGAACCAGCATAAAAACCCCGCGACAAACTCATAATTTGTAATAACTTAGAACAAAGTACATCCCAGGAATTATTGTAAATGCTTCATTTCAAAATACATAAAAATAATTTTTATCTTCATGAGGCAGATTGGAATAAAATTAATGGCAATACTTGAACAGAAAAGAGATCGACGCTGGTGTATGAAAGAGACAAACCAACATATTGTATTGATTGTTTACATCGTAATGTACGTAGATAGGTATACCACGATTATTATGCAGTCATAGTAGAGTCGTAGATCACAATATAGACATACCAACGAAATTAATTTTGCAAATACATTAATTGTTGCTGTATCTACAGCTAATCTAGGTATTTTAAATTTGTCAAACACGAAATTGTTACAGCGCCATCTACTGTAGAACTCGTGAATGTTTTTGAATTACTTCAAACATTTAACTTCATCAATGAAAGAATAGTCAACGCCTCGTAGCAGGAGGCTTTAGCGAAAAATTTATTTTTTAAAGCTTTTGTAGAATATTTCTATTGCATTTAATAGTAATTGACAGTTTTTGCGCTTACTGACTTTTCAATCGCTTTCGACACAGAGATAAATATATATCTTTTCTACCCTTAAACACCTTAAGTTTTCATCCCCAGCGTTGGAGTGGTTCTCTTCTTGTGTTCGCGGCAGCCAGCAAACGGTTCGCTCAGGTCAGCGTTTTTCTGCATGGGCTGAAAGAGAATCCTGGTGTAACGCAAGGCGGAATACTTTCTGCTAGTATGTTTTCCTTATTTATAAATTCTATCTCCTCACTTTTGGATTGTTCGTACCATTTGTATGCGGATGATCTTCAGCTCTATGTGTAGTCCGGCGTAAATAATCTTAATTTTGTTACACAAATAAATAATAGCCTAGTAGCCATAAGAGAATGGTCGTACAAATACGTCATTTTTAGTTAAACCAGACGAATGCAAAGTGATAATCATCGAAAGTTCGCAATTATTAGCTAAGGTTAATTATGGAAATCTCCCTCCTGTATTTTATAATGGAACTTTGATTCCATATTGTAATTCCATAAAAATCTTGGCCTATGCATATATTGGACGGACTTAATGCCATATGGCAAGCCTGGGTGCCAAAGACAATTGATGGCAGGTACGAAACATAATAAATAAATAAAGTGTAAGTACATACATACACAACACATATTTAATATATATATAATGTCTTTGAGTGAATTACATCTAGTAATGAAAGAAATTTTACAAGTTCTATAGCAGAAGGCGAAGTATACACTTCATGTATAGTATACCTAACTTAAAATACCAATATTGGCTTAGACTGATGTACGACTCTTTAAATTACTACAGTCTGTGGACTCTACATTTCATTCTATGGGGTAATGCGACTGATATTGAATCTTTGTTTACTTGATTCTCTTCTGATTAATGGCTTCTTTTTTTATAGGATAAGGATGACAAACGAGCACACAGTTCAAAATGCAAAAGTCAAAATGCAGATGCGTTGTCACCCGTGAGGACTAAGACGGAATGCATCTTTTCCAGTAAAATGAGTCGCCAGTTCTCTACACTCACTTTACGAAACACAGCAGCGTTATGCTGCTATTTTACGCTGGTACTCTGTGAGAGCGTGGTCCTTCTCCGGTCGAGCCGACCCATTCGTGCTACAACTATACTATTAATATAGCTGCAGCATGTCTCTACCACGTAAAAAACTTATAAC